AAACAGACATTCGGATGGCGGGGGAAGAAGAACAAACTGGGGAGGAGGGTAGAGAGAATGGTGCAGCAATGAAGAAATGAAAATCCAAAGTCCCTGTAAATGTTCATTAAAACTAGTAAAATTTAATAATAAAAAAATTTTAGAAAAAAGAAAAAACATAGCTACTTTGTAAACTTTCACTCAAGCACCGAAAACCAGAAATATCTTAATATTTCAATTTCTTTATTTACTCTTTCTTGTTTTCATTTTTTTGTTTCAACAGTGAATGACAGCAACTGTATCCACATGTCTGAGCCGTATCCATACCTCCTGCTGCTCTACTCTTTCAAAAGGCACTCCCACTCACATCTATCACACCTGATCCATGATAGACTATGGACAACACAAGCACAACAACCCACCCTCAACTGTTCTAAATGAACAATGAAGAGAGTTACGTGTCCACAGTTTCATCCTCTACTTCACCTACCACACAGAGATATAGAAATACAAAGTAAACAAAAATGTAGACAAAACTAAAACCTGGAGTAAATACCTATTACACAGATATGTATTAAATACACCACTCTAATGTCTTAGAGACAACCTCAATTAACACAAAAAAGGTAAAGTAGCCAAACAAGTAGCCAAAATTTAGACCCAAAAACCGTTCTGAAAAAGGAGTGGATTCAGAGATACCTGATAGGGAATTTAGGTACTTTCTATGGATGGATGAAAAAAAACTTTGATGAAATCACTGACAAAATCAAATTGGTAAATGTTAACAACTATCAAGCAAAATGAGAAGAAAATTATTTGATTACAAAATTTACAAATTTTGAGGTAGCTGAAATTATATCAAGATAGAGATGGGTTTTTTTTTTTAAAATTACAAAAGGAGTTTTATTCAAAAACATAAGGGAGGGACCATTTACATTTGATCAGGTGACAAACAGGTGTCTTGCATTTTGCGGGGGGGCGGGGGGGAATCTATGGCATGAAGTTCCTCATTCAGAAATTGCAAGCAAAAATGACCTAAGTTGTACACTATTGCTTTAAGGGAAACAGTGAGGGAAGGAACACAAACTCATGATTAAACACTGGAAATCAGTGACTTCTGCTCAGTGTTAAGTTTAAAACTATGCTTAAAAAAAAAGTAACTTACACTGTTCAAATGTTTACAACTATAGCCCCAATATAGTTTCTGTACTTGAAATGGCAGTAGGCCACTGGCTGTTGTGCCTCTGAAACCTAGACTAGCTGGTCACTGGTTACAGTTTTCAAATGGCAAATGCATGCTCCTGTTTGTTCAGATTCCAAGAAAGCTTAGGTTCAGCTCATAGTCTTTCGGAATGTTTATAGATTATTGCCACCACTCCATATCAAGCTGACCAACTTCCTTTGCTCAGTTTTACCACTCTAGCTTTTAAAAATATTTTCCCATAAACATGTGCAGTAATTCTAGCAAAGGATTTTTCCATTTTTCCTCCCCACAATGCAGAACTGTCTAGGAACACATTAATGAACAACAAGGAAGAAAGTTAGTTGCATTGGATTCACAGACTGTTCATCAAAGTACATCAAACTACTAAAAAATGTCATTCAGGACTAGATTTGAATAGCAAACTTAGAGGAGGAGGATTAACTGTGGAACAAAAACATATGAAACATTCAAATATAGAGCAAGAGACTATGCTACTAAAAATGCCCACGACAGTAAACACTCCACAAACCCCCATCTGTTGTTTAAACCTAAGAGTCTATTGGCTAACTTATACATTAATTTTGATTAATAACCTGAGAAGTTAAAATCTTAAAAGTGGCAAAAACAAATCAAGGGAGCATCCCTTTTTTACCATTACATCAAGTTACCAAGTTACTTTTCCTGGGTAGCCCTGGTTATTATAACCCCAAATTCTAACTTACACTATTTCCTCTTATAAAAACCTATATGTACATCAGATTTTACATTTTGGCTATAGTTCAATAATAGATATCTCCAAACTTTGAAAAGCCAGTTTTTTGTTGTTTTGTTTTTTTTTTTTGTTTTTTTTTTAAATAACAATAATCATGTAAGTGCTACTGACTGACTCAGAATTCCTCACTGTGGGGGAAAAACATCCAGATGCCAAGTCCATAAAAGATTCAGCCTCAAAAGAGAATCACTGCATCAAAGTCTACCGGTTCCTGGAATTTAAAATAATGACTTATGTTTATAGTCAAGTTTTACAGCATGCATATACATAATTACATATATGCTATGTATGTATATGTGATATTAAACAAATATACATTTGTATTCTCATAGTAAAATTCCATGTTCAAAGGTTTGCATCACAGTATATGGAGAAAAGTTATGTAAGCAGTGCGAAATAATGTAGTTTCCTGAAAATTTAATGTCATTTCTGTATATATATATTTTATGAGTGCTGAAAAGTTTTGCTTTCATAACCTTAGGTAGGAATGGTATACCATTTCCTAGCAACTTTACTAAATATCAATGTAAGGACTAACTGTTACTCTTCTCCACATACTGAGTGATAAAATAAGGGAGAGGGGAAAGGGAAACAGTAACCTTTTAAAACTGCTGATATTTCCCAATTATCAAAATAGACCAGATTTCATTACATTTTTTACTTGAAACCACTCTACCATGATGTTTAAAGAGAGTCGCAATGTGATGTTTGAATAATGGGAATATTGCAAAAACAAGTCAAGATTTTAGACAAAGCATCCAAAAATATCACTGCGGTTTTACCTTGGACACAAAGTAGATCATACATACAAAGATATAAAGAACATTAAGTTTTTAGCTGAAGGCAGCAGTCCTTCTAAAGGGACATCCCTGGCAATCCAATGAGTAGTTGACTTTAAGTATATTAAGCTCATGACAATGCTGAAAAATGTGATGTCTTGTTTAGTAGAGTCATCCCCGACTTCGATTTCCTCGTGCTCCCCAGCCTCGGCCACCTCTGCTTCCCCTGAAGGCTCCTCTCTTCTCATAATTAAAATTGCCCAAATTGCTGCTGTAGTTTCCACTAGGAGGATTATAAATTTGTCTGGCATCCCTTTTTGGTCCTGCTGTAGACTTTTTTGGGTGGTGAACCTGAAGTCGTATCTTCACTGGTTCTCTTTTGCCCCAACTCAACCTTCTGTACGGGCTTCCAGGATAATGTTACTGTGCTCTTATAAGAAGGAGGAATGTGGAAGAGATCCTTGATTAAAACATTGATATTATTTGTGATTTTCAATGCAACAACTTTAATCTTGTTCTCTTCTGTCTTTAAGGCCTCTCCTGTTTTCCCCTGCAGAGCCAAGTGAAGTTGTCTGATATAAACCTGCAGGCCTAGTGCAAAGTACTGAAGCCTGATTTTGAAATCTTTGAGCTTTTCTGCATTCAGTTTGATTGTTAGGAAATCTGGACGTTTTCCACCCAACTGGTGAAAGCTGTATAACAGACAATCCACATAACTGAACTGCAGCTTAGGTTCTTCAATGCCAGCGTTCTCTCCATTTTCCACTTCTTCTGATGGGAGAGGCATGAACTCCAACAACTTATCGAACAGTTTCCTTAAATTTGTCTCTAGCTTTTCCATGTCACCACAAAATGGATTCATCTCTGCCAACAGTTTCAATACCTCCAATTGTATGTCAAGACCCTCCACAGGGGCAGTCAAGGAACTGAGGTTAGGAAGAACCTGCTCACAGAAGTAAGTCACAAATTTTGTAGAATGAACATTTTTAGAGAAGAGGGGCACTGCCTGGCTAATGCATTGTAGGAGCCGGTCCACACAGTCGGGATCTGAGGGATTGAAGGTCTGCTCCACGCATATTGGAAAAGAAAGCATATTGTGCTTTTTGGGGGTGCATTAGCCATAAATATCTATAAGATAGAGCTGGTTAATTGTGTGGCTTAATTCTTGAGTATCTTTATTGAGATTCTTTTTGGTAGTTCTATCTTTTCTTGAAAGGGATGTATTGAAGTCTCCAAAAACTATAGTAGTCTTGTCTATCTCCTTTTTCAATTTTGTTAATGTATGTTTTATATATTTCACAGGTCTTTCATTTGGTGCCTAGATATTCATTATTGTTATATCCTCTAGTTGTACTCACCCTTTGAGCACTATGTAGTGACCTTCTTTGTCCTTTGTGATGGTTTTTGCGGTCAACTGATTTTTGACAAGGAGATGAAATCAGTTAAGTGGGGAAATGACAGCCTTTTTAACTATGGTGTTGCCAAAATTGGAAAGACATCTGCAGAAGACTCAAGCAAGATCCATACCTTACTCCATATACAAAAACCAACTCAAGGTGGATTATGGACCTAGAACAAAAAACAAGGACTATAAGCTTCATTTAAGAAAAACTCTAGTAGTCCTAATCCACAACATAAACAGTCTTCCAAGTATCCTGAAAAGCTTAGCATTTCTTAAGCTGAAGGAACTGAAGAACAAATTCAAGCTTCCAGGTGCAATATTTAAGGATGCTGTGGGGCAGAACGTTAAATGATCCAGGAAACAAGAGTCACAATACAAAAAAAAAAAAAAAAAATTTTTCTGATGCAGCAGAATTTCATGAAATAACACATGATTGAGAACCTGTGGTGATGAAGGAGGAAGTTCAAGCTGTTCTGAAAAAATTGGCAAAAAAAACCAAGCCTCCAGGAATTGATGGCATACCAATTGACATATTCCAACAAATGGATGCTGCCTTGTATATGTTCACCAAGTTGTGCCAAGAAATCTTGAGGACAACCACATGGCCAACGGACTGGAAGAGGTCCATATTTGTTCCCATTCAAAAAAAAAAAAGCTGACCCAAGAGAGTGTGGAAATTATAAAACAATATCATTAATATCGCAAGTAAACAATATCCTGCTGAAAATTATCCGTAAACTATTGGAAAAGTACATCAACCGAGAACTGCCAGATGTACAGGCTGGATTTAGAAGGGGTTATGGCATGAGAGATATTATCCCAATGTTAGATGGATCTTAGCTGAAATCAGAGGAATGTCTATCTGTGGTTCATTGACTATGCAAAGGCATTTGACTGAGTAGGTAACAACTCAGAAAAATGGGAATCCCTGAACACTTGATTGTGCTTATGTGAAACCTATATTTGAACCAAGAGGAACGTCATTAGAATAGAGCAAGGAAACACTGCATGATTCAGAATCAGGAAAGGTATACACTAGGGATGCATCCTATCTCCATATATTTTCAATCTATATGTGGAACAGATCATCCGGGAGGATGGACTATAAAGAAGAATGTGGTATCAGGTTTGGAGGAAGACTCATCAACGACTTGTGTTGTGCAACCTTGCTTGCTGAAACTGAGGAGGACCTTAGGCATTTGCTGCAGAAGGTCAAGGACTGCAGCCTTCAATATGGATTGAAGCTCAACATCAAGAAGACAAAGATTCTCACCATGGGCCAATTGGCAGCATCATGATAGATAATGAAGAGATTGAAATTGTTGACAGCTTCAGCCTGCTTGGCTTCATAATACTCTTTGGTACCAGTAGCTAGAAAATCAAAGACACATTGCACTGGGAAAATCTGCTGCTGGGGACCTCTCCAGAGTACTAAAGAGTAACAATGTCAGTCTAGATACATGATCCAGGCCAAAGTCTTCATAGCTACTTGCTATGTATCATAGAGCTGGACAATGAGTAAGGATGATAGAAGAAGAATTGAGGCCTTTGAGTTATGGTGTTGGAGAAGAGTATCAAATATACCATGGACTGCTAGGAGAACAAACAGATTTGTTCTAAAGAATGTGAAATGAGGCTACTCCTTAAAGACAAAAATTTTGAAACTTCTTCTGACATACTTTCAGCAAAGAGGAACCAGTCCTTGGAGAGCAACATCAAGGGACAACACAAGAGAGGAAGACCTTGGATTAGTTGGAAAGATTCATTCACTAGGGTAATGGGGGTAGATGTGTCAGAGACAATAAATTTGGCTCAAGATAGAGCTGGGTTCAGAACAGTTCAGTATATAGGGTTGCTATGAGTCGCAAGAGACTAGGCGGCACATAACAACAGTGACTGACAAGCATAGCAGGTGGGCAGTTCGCCTGGGTTTTTATCCTTGATACAAAAGCTTGATCCAAAGTCTGATTCCTTGCCAGTTGGCTAATTTCATTTGGGCTTAGAAGGAGTGAGGATGGTCAAAGAAGGGAGCTCAAACAAAGGGTCAGCCTTGAGATGATTGGAATATTTGGTATGTTTTTTTTGGATGACTTTAGTGTGCCCAAGACTGGTTCTAGCTGGTTCAGCAGAAGAGCATAGTTACAATGAAGTTTTCCCCAGTAATCTCTAAGGAGAGAAATTTTACTTCTACTACCAAAATGAACTAGCTGGCACAGAAGAATTTCATGGAACAACATATGGTCAAGAAGGGGAATAAAACAAGACTCCAGGAATTGATGGAATGCCAATTGACATATTTTTTAACATATAGATGCAGCCCTGGATGTACTTACCAGTTTGTGCCAAGAAATCTGGAGGACAACTACCTGACCCACTGATTAGAAGAAAGCCATATTTATTGCCATTCAAAAAGAGGTAATTTACCGAGTGTGGAAATTATGGACCAGAATCACTAATATCACATGCAAGCAAAACCCTGTTGAAGATCATCCAAAATGTTTGGAACAGTACATTGACACAAACTACCAGAAATATAAGCTGGATTTAGAAGAGGCCATAGCACTAGGGACATCATAGCTAATGTCAGATGTATCTTGGATGAAAGTAGAGAGTATGAGACAAATGTTTATCTGTGTTTCATGGACTATGCAAAAGCATTTGACTATGTGAATCACAACAAATTGTGGCTAGAATTGAAAACAATAGGAATCCAAGAACACATGATTATGCTCATGCAAAACGTGTACTTAGACCCGGAAGCAGCCATCAAAACAGAGTACAGAAACACTACATGGTTCAAAATCAGGAAAGGAGTGTGTCAGGGATGCATCCTATCTCCATACCTTTTCAATCTATATGTGGAACAGATCATTCAGGAGGCTGGACTTTATAAGGAGGAATATGGCATCAGGACTGGAGGAAGACTCATCAAGATTCTGTGTTATGCAGATGGCACAAACAATATTGTTTGCCAAAAGAGTGGAGGACATGAAACATTTGCTAAAGAAGGTCAAAGAACACAGTCTTCAATATGGATTGAAGCTCAACATCAAGAATAGAAAGGTTCTCACCAGTGGGCCAATTGGCAGCATCATGATAAATTTTTAACAATTTCAGCTTGTTTGGTTCCACAATCAACATTCTTGGTACCAGCATCCAGGAAATCAAAAGATGAATTGTATGGGGATGATATGCTTCAGAGAGCCCTGCAGAATGCTAAAGAGCAAAGATGGACAGCAGGAAGTGAGGGATGCAGGAGCATGGGGTGGCACTGCCTGCACTGCTCCCACAGTTATTTGGGGGAGGGGAATTGCTGTCTAGTTTGACAGTACCGGACCCCTTCACTCAGGTACTTTAGGGGGGAAATGCTGTCAGTCTTAACAATGCAGGACTCTTTAACTCAAGCAACAGGGGAGTCTTGGGTACCCTGATAGAGGTGAAAAGCCACATCCAAACGGGAACAACAGGCTTCCTCCTGGGTCATTCAGGTACTGTGGGCAAAAAACTGCCATCAGGCCGTCAATCTTGCAGGCCTTGGGCCAAGAAAGGGGCACAAATACACAGGTGCTTCACAAAACATTGCTGTACCCTGGATAATTTCATATTTACAACAGCCTAATATCTACTAGGAAAAGACTCCTATAATGTAAAGAAAGTAGCAAACCACAATAGCCATTATGAAGAAAACAAAACTACCCTTCTAAAAAAGCGGATCCAATGAATAAACCAGATAGAGAGAACCAGAAGAAATATGTGATGTAGAGTTACTTGATCAGCTACAGAAAAAGATACAAAAGTGAGAAACACTGGCAGTAATTATCAGAACAAATACTCCAGAGACAACAATCCAGAAGAAATATATAGATGAGGAGAAACTTGAACAGATATGGATGAAAATGCAAAAGATGGAAGAAAAAATTGATAGAATAGATAAAGAGGTACAAGAAACTAAAAATCATCACAAGAGTGAGAGGGTACAGGCAACACAGTACTGGAATTAACAGAAAAGCATGAAAATGCTATCCAGAATATTACGACTAAAATGGCAGAAGTGTCCAACATGCTGGTAGGACAAAAAAATAGAACTGATGAGATGGAACACAGAGTCAGTGAGCTAGAAGACAAAAGCCTCACTAGAAACCCACTTGAAGAAAAATCAGAGAATAGACACAAAGAAAATGAAAAAAAAAGAACATTAGAATTATGTAGAATGGCATCAAACTGAATAATATACATAAGATTGGAATTCCAGAACATGGGCGGGACAGGGAAATCACTGAGAAGATTGTGGAAGAAGTACTAGAAGAAAACTTCCCAGGTATTTTAAAGAATGGGGAAAGCCACATCCAAGAAGTACAGATAACACCAAATAGACTAGCCACAAAAGAATCATCACCAAGAAATATCATAGTCAAATTCTCCAAATTAAAAGATAAGAATAAAGACATAAATGCAGCACAAGAAAAACAAAGAGATACCTACAAAGGGGAAACAATTAAATTCTGTTTTCTCAGCAGAAACCATACAAGCTAGAAGGCAATGGGATGCCATATACAGAAAGTTGAACGATAACAATTGCTCATCAAGGATCCTATATCCAGCAAAGCTCACTATCAAAATTGAAGGGGAAATCAGATTCTTTGCAGGAAAGAAGGACCTTAAGTGATTTGTGAAAACAAGATCAAAACTAC